TATAAATACAATACTGGCAAAGTGGCAAAAACTACACCACTTGCCATCTCAGCAGCACAGGTCTTTACTTTCTGGTGCCTGTTCAATGGAGCCTGCCTTATCCGCAGCTAGACCTCACTCTGTTCTCTCCTCCATCCCACCTGTATCTCCGCCATCCTGTATAATCTCCTTCTCGGAGGGCTCATCAGATCCCTGTCTCCCCCCCTCATGATATCATTTCCGATTCTTCTAATATATCTATTCAGCTCTCCATTATCTCCCTCTCATACACAGCCGTCCTCTCCCACCATCCCCTAGGTTACCTCCCATACACTAGAGGCCAATCTGAACTTAACTAAGGCTCTGGCAGGTAACGGCCATTTTGGGTAGGACAGAATGTACTCCAAGTAAATGGAGATTTCCCAGACACTAGAGAACAAACTTTCCTGTTGGGGCTCTTGCTGGCGGTGGCCATTTTGGGTAGGACAGACTGCACTGTAAGTAAATGGAAGCAATTTGTTGAACACTAGAGTACAAACTGTCCTGGACTGAGTCTCCAGCCGGCGGCGGCCATTTTGGCTTGGACAAAGACACCCTCAACACGGCTGTATAGAGAAGTGATTTTTTTCTCCTCATGCGAGGACGACGTCGGCGGCGTTGAGAGGCTGGGGGGAGGGGCGTCGCGTCAGTGCTGTGGGCGGGGTTACAGGAGTCGTCAGCCAACTACATTAGACCCCACCTGGAGCTCCGCCCACAGCAGTGATGCGACGCTCCTCCAGCCTGCCCAGAGGACCCGAGCCACCACGGAAGATAAAAAAAACACACAAATAAAACAGTGCAAGCTTCGGCGCTAGGCATCGGGGCATTTTGACAAGTACAAGTACTTGTCAAAATGCCCTGTATCGGGCCCGATTCCGATGCTAGCATCGGTATCGGGACATCCCTAATAAAAACCCATCTGTTCAAGAATTAACTCCCTGTGCCCTGTGATTTACAGCAATAAATAATTTTACAGGTAAGGCAAAAATCCTGTGTTACATTCTAATTCCAAAATTCTGTTGGTGGATCTACTTCACCAGTAGGTCCCTTTTGCCTGTTATTTAACTAGCCCTGAGAAAGGACACATTGATAGTTTTTATATCTATGGGGGGGAGGGGGTTGTAACAATTAAGTTCATTAAAGAGAGATGCCAAGTAGAAATTATACAACAAACAAATTCAGACATCAGAAAAGAAGCATAATCAAATCAGTACCTGAAAAATCACATCAGAAAAAGAGCAATATTTCTCCAAACAAGAATGCTATGGCATCAATATATAAAAGTAACATAGATAAAGGTGACACAAAACATAAAGGAAAAAGAGAAGAAAGAGATAAATTGAGGGAAAAGAAGGAAAGAGAAATGAGAAAGTGTAGAGAAAGTAACATCCATTGAAAACCCAGGTGAAAAGTATTGGTAAAAACAAGGGGAACCTCCATTACAAACAAGTGAATCAAGAACAATCTTCCCTCATAGTGCTGCACCATTATGGGGGCCATAGATTGTGATAAAGTAGAGAGAGAGTCGAGCTGTTTGTGAAAAGCTTGAGAGTCCTTATAAAGGATCCAAGCAGTCCACATTGTGTAAAACTTATCAGTTTTATCGCTATCTATAGCGATCAATTCCTCTATTCTCATAAAACCGTTCAGGGCATCCAACCACTCCACCAACGAAGGTGTAGTGTTTGATTTCCACTGTGTGGGATCACCAAGCGGGCTGCAAATAGAAAAAAATCTGAGAGTCATGCGTTTGGCAGAAGAGACCGACCCCGGCAAAGCAGTTAATATTGCTATATGTGGGGAGTTGTGGACCCTGGCAGAATATGCTGATTTATAGAAGCTGAGTACATTATCCCAAAAATTATGAAGCAGGCGGCATTCCCACCAAACATGTAGAAATGTGCCTGTAGATCCTTAACACCTCCAATAGATTTCCGAATGGCTGGATTTAGATACCACCTGGAAATTAATCTATTTTTTTTCTATATGAAACAAACTCTTCTTGAATTTTTTTTCTATAGATAATAATACATATAAATAATAAATGTTCAGATACCAAGGTGTAGAGCAGAATAATAGCTAGCCAACGGTTAGGATTTGAAGGTCCACTAGCCAAGGGGCTGCAGGAGTGGAGCCCAGGAATCACAACTTATATTTATAGTAAAGGATATGGTGGGCAGAGCTCACTCAAATCAGCATTCTCAGGATCAGCAGCAAGAAATTAGAAAAGTAGATTTAAGGCTAGTGTATACTTTTTTTTTTTTTTTTACATCAGTTGGGGTCAGTTTGTTTTTTG